CCGGATAGACGATAACCATCTCAGCCCCGACAGCACAGCATCCTCACACCGCTCCGCCCCCCCCCCCTCACTTCCCACAGCTCCTTGTCTTCCAGAACAGCTGAGGAGAGAGGCCAGCCAAGCGCGCGGGACGCGGCGGGGGGCCCCTGCGGCCGGCCGCATAGGCAGTCCCGCCGGGCCGGTGCGCGGTGCGCGGTCTACCCGCCGGGCGCCAGCGGAGGCGCTGCTGGGAACATCATTCGCACCTCCACCTCCTGGAATAATATTTTTCTCCAGTGTCCCGAGCCCGAGGTAAACACGACGCTGTCCCGGTGGGGGGGAGGGGCGTGATCATTTACGACCCCGAACAGACTTATTTCTCCAGTCGGTTCTGATGAAGCTGCCAAGGGCCGTGCCGGTTGTAGCTACAACTGCGCGTAGCTACAAACAGGCACGTCACAATTCCCAGTCAAACGCACACAATGTTACTCGATACATTGTGGAGCTAGGTGCGCGCCAGTTGAACACCCCCAGAGCGAGGGGGTGCGCGGCCGACAGCTGCCCCCGAGCCTCTCCGCCGGTGGCGGCAGCGGTCCCGAGGGGCGCGCTGTCGGCCGCGGCCGCGCGGTGTGCACCACGCCAGAGGGGGCGGAATTAACAGTCAAAACTTTATTAATATCCGAGAGGGTTACAGACGACGTAAGCAACAGAGAAAAAAGACCCCCCCCCCCGCCTCCACCTAACGCTCTGCTACAGTCCTCCAGCCTCCACCCCATTTGCGTACACTACAAAAACGGCAATGCACTTTTATTACAATCTTTTCACTTTATCTCGCACGCGTAGGCCTTTTACTTGCCACATTTTTATCGCTTTCCACTAATTGCGAAGCAAAGAGTCGTGAAGCAGTCTGGCCCCCGCGCCCGGTCACCGTGCTGCCTTTTGCTCTCCGTGATTTGCAGAATTTTAGGGCACAAGATGGTGGCCGGCACTGCCCCCGCCCCGCCCCGCCACACCCTCGCACGGAGTCGGACGGGAACGGCCATGGTGTCCAGGCGGCGCACGGTGCAGCCCTGCCACATCTGTAGGCACACTCAGCGCCACATGGCGCGCGCCCCCGCCGCGCCACGCCCCGCCGCGCCCCAGCACGCCGGCCGTGCACCCGCAGTCCAGTTAGTCCCCCTGGCAGCCGTTGTGCCCCTCCGCCTCCGGCCCCTAGGCCCGCATTACCTCATCTCGTGCCCCGCCCTGCCCCGCCCGGAGCACCCTGTGTCGCACCGCTTGCGTCGTCCCCTGAACTTGGACCCCTGGCCCCCTGAGATGCACAGCGCGACAGCGGGTAGACTGGCCGGTGTGCTGCGGGTGCGGTGCGCCTGCCGGCCGGCCGTCACGCCAGTTTCTTGGAGCGCAAAAAATTTACACAGGAAATCAACGTGTTTGTTTAGTGTACACTGAAATAGGGGCGTGATGTCTAGCAAGTTGAAGAAACGACGTGGCGAAAATTGGGACCCTCGGCTTGTTTGAGCAGGTAAGCATTCTGTTATTTCAAGTGTAGTAAAAACACTCTTTAAGTCGCATCAGTGTGGGGGCTGTACTGTGCCCGCTACTTAGCGACCCGCCTGACGAGATATGGGTTGGAATCTGGCTGTAAGCATAGGGATCATCCAGAAAGTACGTCCGTCATTCTCCGCTACGGATCTGTCAAGTTCAGCTTATGCAAGCTCTCGTAGCGCCTGATGGGTAGGCAACGTCTTGTCTGCGACATATGCGTGTACTGCGGGGCGGCCTACCCCGAGTCTCGCAGGCGCCGAGCTCCCCCGTCTTGACTTGTCTAATGAATCTGAGAAAAACCGACGTACTTTCTTGGACGACCCCCCATAAGCAAATGCCCTGCCTGCCTCAGGTGAGGAGTATCAGAAAATTCAGAATCACTCGCTGACAACTTTTCCAGATACGTCGTCCTTCGTGGACCATGGCAGCTGGTGGGACCGGGAGGCGGGTTTGAAGGAGATGTGACCGGCTATCCATCTCGCCGGTGGCTCTGCCCCCCCTCCCCCCGCGGCGCACACCTGATTCCCCCCTGTAATCGCCCACCGCCCTCTTTCCCGGGGCAGCCGTGCCGCAAGACGCGAATGTGTTGGAGAATTTGCACGATAAATCAGGACCATCCCGATACGGCACGCGTAGCGGCAGCCGGGTGGGGTGGGGAGGAGAGGAGCACACAGAACTCTCCGCGGGGTCCGCTGGGCGCGGAGCAGCTGAGTTGCACGTGCAGGGGCGTGAGTGCCTATTTAAACGTTCGTACGCGCGGAACTTGCACACACATATACGTGTGCAATCTGAAAGAGGAGCTGGGAGAGGGTGTGGTGTTCAGGTGCGAACGCGGACCCCCGGTTGTACTTAAAAGCTGTGGGGGCGAAAAAGAGTGGGTGGGGGGGCTGTCTGGCCGTTATTGCTCGGCGGGGAACTCCTTGCAGAAAAGCGTCTCGATAACAGGACGCATGGATCGGCACGCCCGGGGCACAGCACTCGAGGCGGGGCGCGCCCCCTGCCGCCGCCGCCGCGGCGCAGGTGCGGAGCGGGCGTGGGCGCGGTGCACGGGAGGGGGGCCCCCGCTCAGCGGATCAGTTTGCTGCCAGGGGTTCACTTTCAGGACCCGCGAAGGCTCGAGTTTCGTAACCTCACACACATCCCGTAAAGCAAATTTAATTTTTGGCCCGCACTGCGACAAAGTGACCGGGTCGTAGTTACGAGTAAACTTATCACAACAAATAATCACTAAAGTGAAATTTAAAAAAAAAGTATGAATAGCGATTAGAGGTCAGTTTGTCACTGTAACCAATTGGAAAGTGGTGCCTAAAATGGCTCGTGATTCACCCTCAAGTCCTCTCGGACACGCCACGAGAATGGTTTCACCCGGTACCCGCGGCCCCACTCCGCCCAGCAGCCCCTTCCTCGCCGCGCGAACCCCACTGAGTGAAATTATGTACGGGAACCAATATGCATTTTTACGAGGCAAGTTTTGTGCCGCCCGCCCGGCAGGCAGCAGCGGCAGCCCATTAACGTGTTGAGCGCCAGGACCCCGTCAGGTCCCCCGCCAACCCCCCGCCGCGCCTTGGCTCCGCGCAGCGCAGCTACCGAGCCAATATGCAATAAAATAAGGACGTGCCCATATCGCATTTACGTCGGGCGGCGCCGCGGCGCACTCACCTGTGCGTTGACGCCCTCCCCTTCCCCCCCTTCTATAACAACTGGTACGGGACGTACCCCCAAGGAGCTCCGAGGGGCCGCCAGAGTGCTGCCGGTGACGCTCCGCGCCTCCCGCCCTGCGCCGTGCGTCCTGCACCTGGGCCCTATCTTATCATGTATTGCAATATTTTGTGTCTCAAGTCGTTGATATCCTTGAGCACAAGAATCAAAATGCTTCCCGAAATGCTTTTAATTTCGAACAAAGTCCTACTAATCTTGGACAAAACGATTTGCACAAGTGCGAGGTCTCTGCGTAGGAAAACGTCACGGTGCTGGAGATATTCGTGACAAACATATTTCCCAAGGACCGAAAAAGCCTCGGTTCAAATGTAGCATGTCTCTCTCTCAAGTCAGGAGAAACCGTCAAGTTGCCGCGGCTTGCACCACTGCACGAGAGGGGTGGGGTATCGCCCTGCAGAAGAAGAAGCGTGGCGCTACTCCGCGCGGCGTCGCTACCCCTGTCCCCTGGCTCGACTCTATCTACCCTTCACTATCTAAGCCCTAGATCCCAAGCGACCCCTGAAACCCCACCGCGACCCTAATTTTCCCCCCGTGAACCCGTTCGACCTCAAGTTCGGGACCCGCTGGGTTAATAGCGTCGAGTTCCCGCGGATAACGGACGCCGCCGGCCACTGCACCAGTCAGACCAGCGCCGCGCCGCGCATCGCCGCACTCAGAACAGTCCGAGCCCCCCGTCCCGCCGACATGGCCCCCCGCGAGGCGCAGGACAACGGCGAGGCCCGCGCGTCCACCCTGCCGGGCCTGTGGAAGTACCCGAGCCACCGGGAGAGCGACGGCGCCGTCACGGGGCCGTCGTACCTGGACAGCCGGCGGCGAGACGATGGCGCCGAGGGCCTGTGGCGGGTGCACGACAAGCTGTACGACCTCGAGCCGTTCGTCCAGCGTCACCCCGGCGGCGAGCACTGGCTGCGCTCCACCAAGGTAAGAGAAGAGCAGGCCAGGATAAACACTTGGCTGCCGTCGGGCACTTCAGTCAGGGGCTGAACGGCTGGTGTGAAGTTAACTCTGGGTAATGCAATAGCAGACGCAGAGGTAACGTATTGTAAAGTTCACGGGGTGGGGGTGTGGGTGTGGGGGACCCAATGGGTATGGGGAATTTCGTTTAGTAATCCCTACCTGGAGAAAAATGTGAGATAGTGTGTGAGAGAGAAGCTGCCATTGCACAATTGCAATTAGGACTAGAAGTCTAACTGGGCCGTCTTCCTGGCCGCAGGGCATGGACATCACGGAGCTGTTCGAGAGCCACCACGTGACGGGGCGCGCGCCCGAGGTGCTGGCCCGCCACTGGGTGCGGGACGCGACGCAGCCCCGCAACTCGCCGTACACGTTCCTGGAGGACGGCTTCTACCGCACGCTCAAGCGGCGCGCCGCGCCCGTGCTGGCCGCCACGCCCGACCCGGGCGTCGCGCCGCGCTTCAACGACGCGCTGGTGGCCGCGTCGTTGGCGTGCGCGGGGCTGGGCGCGGCCGTCCCCGGCGCCGCGGGCTGGCTGATCGTGGCGCTGGCCGGCGTGCTCGTGTCCTGGTCCGCCGTGTGCGCGCACAACTTCACGCACCGCAGGGATAACTGGAGGATGTACTACAAGAGCCTGTGCTTCATGTCGCTATCGTGAGTGCCCTGCACACCTGTGGGACCTGAGGGCCACGCCGAGGGGTCCTGCACTAAAAAAAAAAATCAATGTACACCCATAGAAAAAAATCACGAAAAAATCATAAAAATCATTAAAAAAACATGAAAATATCCCCCCAAAGTCAGAAAAAATCTACAAAAGGTCAGCAAAATCACAAAAAATCAAGAAATACAGAAAAATCGGTGTACGCTAGAATTTATAGTGAAGGACCCCTCGGGCCACGCCACGCGCTGCGCCTCGGCCGCACCCTCTGATCGCCCTCCTCCTCGGCCCGCAGGGACTGGCGAGTGTCACACATCCTCTCGCACCACATGTACCCCAACACGCTGCTGGACATCGAGATCAGCATGCACGAGCCGCTGCTGCAGTTCCTGCCCACGCCGGGCAAGCCCCTCATCTACAAGATCGCGTCCTTCTTCGTCTTCACCTTCTACGCCGCCACGGCGCTGCTGCTGGGCGTGAGGCACAGGTGCGTGAGCGCGTGGTAGCGTATGTGCCGGTGAGGAGGACGGGAGGGGTCCCGCGCCACTTGTAACCAGCACCCGTTTATTGCCGCACAGGGTGACGCGCCTGCGCCTCGAGGACTTCCTGCCCTTGCTGTACCTGGGCGCCATGCTCGCGTGTGGCGCTCCGGCGCTGCGGGCGCTCGCCATGTGGCTCTTCCTCTGTGTCGTCCACAGTCTCGTCTTCCACTTCATCGGGCTCACGGCCGCGCACCACCACCCCGACATCTTCCACGACGGCGACGCACCGAGGTAAGCGGTGGCGGTTGGGCGGTTGGGTAGTTCCTTCCTCCCTGACGTCCACCGCCGAGACGGACGTATGGCCAACAAATCAAGTTTGAAATAGGGCGGCAAAAATATTTGATTGCAATAAGTGAATTTA